CCAAAAGTTTGAGGTTGTTATGAGCTATGACACCATAGCATTCTACTATCAGTGACAAAATGAGACTCTGTCTCAAAAAAAAAAAAAAAAAAAAGATCAGCAATCATAAAGCCTAAGATGTTAGAGGAATACCAATGACTAAAAACATACAAATGAGTAATTCCAAACACAACTGACATCTAATTACTTGTTTATTTTTTAATCCCCTGCTATTTTTTTTAATGTTGAATAGACAAATATCTGAGTGGTGATCTACCATCTAATTAGAAAACGCACATGTCATGTGCTTTTGTGAGAACTTAAGAGGGATGGGTAAACACATTATGAAAGGAGGTATTTATAGAATCAAGTATTTGCTTAACTCCTGTGTCATTACTACCATTGCCTGATGTCTACCAGTGAAAGATAATACAGAAAGAGAAAGTTATAAAATATAACCTTTTCTCAGAAAAGAAAATATGTATGAAAAGCAAAGATAAATGTATAAAAATGTTTAGTAAGCTTAATCTAGCCTCAATATGCAACAATGGAGCTTTGAGGGAGAGAGCCAGAAGGAAGAGTCCACATGCCAAAGTTACAACATGAAAGTCACAGACATGCACCGTTCCAAAGGATGCTACTACAGTGTAGCCTCCTGCAGGCAGGAGGACTTGGAGATTAATGAAATGTGAGAAAGGAGCTAAGGCAGATTGTGTGGAATGATACTATTAAGGAAAGAAAATCACTCCTAGGGACATCATAAACACACTGCTAAAAGCTAAATATAAAGGAAAAATCAGAAAAGCAGCAAAAGCGGCACTTAATACACATGTGAGAACAATAACATAATGACTGATTTCTTCTAAAAACCTATAAAAAACCAGAAGATATTGGAAAGACATGTTGTAAGTGCTCAAACAAAAATCAATCACCATTTCTATATCCAGCAAAGCCGTCCTTTAAAAAAGAAGGCAAAATAAATACCTTTTCATATAAATAAAATTGAAAGAATTTGTTGTTAGCGCACCTATAAGATATATTAAAGACAGACCTATAGAAGGAAGGTCTTAGCTCAGATAAACAGGAAGGAAAGAAGAAATAGTAAACGCAGGGATAAACACAAAAGAATACACACACACAGATTTTCCTTTTCTGTTAAAAGAAAAATATATAATCGTGTATCGTTAGTTTTATGACATATAGGCAGTTCTTATTTTGCACAGACATAATATACATAAATTTCAATTACCACAGTTTAGTTAAATGAAGCACTAGTCTCCCAAAAATATAAATTCCAGTTATTCAAAAGCACAATGACATATCACTTCACTATCACTAAGAGAGCTAAAAATTAAAAAGGTGGACATTAACAAGTTTTAACACATTTTTGACTGGTCACAAGTTAACTTGTGCATTATATATGCAAACTTTGTTAATTGATCATAAGTTAACTTGTGTTTGCACTGGCATTAGCTATTGCAATTTTTAAAATGCAGGGTAATGTAGGATATTGTAAAAGTTTTCTTGATCATGTTCGGTTGTGTTCATTTTGTTATAAAAAAATTATTTTTCTAGACATTCAAGTTTTTATCATAATTCTAGTATTATAAAAATTTCAACCATGACAGATAGTGACAATGAAGAATTGTTCAATGAACCATAAGCAAATGATTTATCTGATTGTCCAAGTAATTTTGAAATATTTTGTAGTGATCTGGAATATGATAGTTTATTGAAAGACAGTTATAAATCTGATACCAGACCACCAAAATGGCAAAAAAGAAATGTAATAGAATCTGATAGTGAAAGTGATTTTGAAGAAGAGTGGATTGAAAATGATATTACACTAACCTTGGAGAATTATACAAATATTTCAGGTGTGACTGTTGAACTTAGTGATTCCTAGAGTATCAGTGAAGTGACAAAATTTACTTTTTGATAATGATTTTTTTATTTAGTTGCTTCTCAAACCACCATCAAATGAAAGTATTTTATAAAAACTGCTAAAATTTTACCATGGATAGAAGTTACTACTAGTGATATAAGGAAATTTCTCAGTTTCTTGATATTGATGGGACAAACAAAAAAACTGCATTGGCAGCACCAGTGGCTCAGTGAGTAGGGCACCGGACCCATATGCAGAGCGTGGCAGGTTCAAACCTGGTCCCGGCCAAACTGCAACAACCAAAAAATAGTCAGACCTTGTGGTGGGTGCCTGTAGTCCCAGCTACTCGGGAGGCTGAGGCAAGAGAATCACTTAAGCCCAAGAGCTGGCAGTTGCTGTGAACTGTGATGTCAGTTCACAGAGAGCAACTGCACAGAGGGCAACAAAGTGAGATTGTCTCTTAAAAAAAAAAATTGCATTGAAGAGATTACTGGTCAACAGATCCTTTGCCTAAAACACCAATATTTCCCAAACTATAACCAGAATGAGGTTTGAGCAAATCCCCACATTTTTTTCATCTTAGTGATAATTCACAAGCTACATCTAGTGAAGACTTTGTAAAATTAGGCCTTTTTTGGATTACTTTATCCCAAACTTTTAGTCTTTTTTTTCCGAGACAGTGTCTCACTTTATCACCCTCGGTGGAGTGCCGTGGCATCTCACAGCTCACAGCAACCTCCAACTCTGGGCGTAAGCGAGTCTCTTGCCCCAGCCTCCCGAGTAGCTGGGACTAAAGGCACCCGCCACAACACCCGGCTATTTTTTTGTTGCAGTTTGGCAGGGGCTGGGTTTTGAACCCACCACCCTCAGTATATGAGGCTGGCGCCCTACTGATTGAGCCACAGGTGCCGCCTGTCTTTTTTTTTTTTTTCCCAAAATTTCAGTCTTTGTATATACCTAAGCAGGAGTTAACCCTAGATGAAGCAGTGGTACTAGACAGAGGATGTATCAGCTGCAGAACATATAAAGCTGGCAAAGGTAACAAAATATGGGGTTTGGTGAGAATGCTTTGTGAACATGAGACCGGCTACATTTACAACCTTGAGATCTATTCAAGGGAAGGCAAAAAGCTACAAGAAACTATATTATCCTTCCTTGGCTGTCTCTCCTCTGTTAGCCAAAGACAGTGGGGGTAGGTCAGGCCTCAAAAAAACAAACAAATAAACAAAAAAAAATACCAAAACTGTCAGCTTAGAGCCATATCTTGATTCTTGGCATCATGTATACCAAGATAATCATTAACAACATTTCTACAGCTGAAATATTATTAGTAAAGAAAACACTAGTCTGCGGCACTAGAAGGGAGAACGGTGGTTTACCAAAAGTACTAAAAGAAAAGTCAAAGAATCTTCAGAGGGGAAATAATGTTTTTACAGAAAGGACCCATTATTCTTATCACATGGAAAGATAAAAGCTAGTGCATCTGATACCAATTATTCACGATGCCTATGAAATCCACTGGAAAGCAAAAGAGGAATGCTATGGATGACACAGGTAAACCTACGTGCATCTGAGAGCATAACGAGTACGTGAAAGGAGCCAATCAAGCAGACCGGTGTGTGGCAAACAGCAGCATCTTTCAAGGAAGCTTAAAGTGGTATAAAAAAGTAGCATTCTTTCTGATCAATTCTGCTTTATTTAATGCATTCAAAATCTACTGTGACTACGATTTACAAAAGAAAAAGAGATAAGAACAATTTCTACTAGAAGTAGCTAGGGAATAGACAACCTTTGATTCAAATGAATGCAGCACAGAACCTGGCACTTCTGGTTCCTCTAAAAGAGCACCTTACAAAGATTTACCTTTCAGGACAACCAGAAGGCCACATTTTAGAAAAATAGTC